GCAGCGAATTCCACAGGTTTACTGTGTACTTTATGAAGACATACTTTCTTCAGTGGATGACCTCAAGTTCTAGAATTATGAGAAAGAAAAGGAAAAAAGTTTCTGTACATCTCCTTTCGCCACATCATGCATAACTTTATACACTCTGTCATGTCTCCCCATTATTTTCTCAGTTGTCCATCTCCACTCTAGAATATCCTTTTTTTAAGGTGCAGTGACCAGGACTGGCTGCTTCATGGATTTCAGTACAGAATGATATTGGCAGTTTTATTTTTGGTGGAATTTGTTCTTTTCTGCAACAGTGACTACAGCATTTTTGTCAAGCAATTTGCCACAGCTCCAGGTTTTCTTCTTTGGTCAGTCACTGCCTGCTAATATCCCATCAGTATGTATCACTTTACACTGGCTTACATAGTTGTTGTATTGCTCTACCTTCTGGCTACTTTTCATAGAATCATACAGTTGGAAGAGACCACAAGGACCATCCAGGCCAACCCCCTGCCATGCAGGAACACACAATCAAAGCACTCCCAACAAACAGCCATCCAGCTTCTCTTAAAACCTCTAAAGAAGGAAACTCTACCACTCTCCAAGGGAGTTTTACTGTCAAACAGCTCTTACTGTCAGGAAGTTCTTCCTAATGTTGAGGTGTATTCTCTTTTCCTGTAATTTGAATCCACTGCTCCAGGTCCTATTCTCTGCAGCAGAAAACAAGCTTGCTCCACCCTCAACACAGCACCTCTTCACATATTTAAACAGGGCTATCAGATCACCTCTTAACCATCTCTTCTCCAGGCTTAACATACCCAGTTTCCTAAGTCTCCTCATAAGGCATAGTTTCCAGACCCTTCACCATTTTAGTAGTCCTCTTTTGGACACGCTCCAGTTTCTCAACATCCTTTTTGAACTGTGGTGTCCAGAACTGGACACATTATTCCAGGTGAGGCCGGACCAAAGCAGAATAGAGTGGCACTATTACTTCCTTCAGTCTAGACACTATACTTCTACTGATGCAGCCTAGAATCGCATTGGCCTTTTTAGCTGCCGCATCACACTGTTGATTCATGTTCAACTTGTGGTCTGCTAGAACTTCTAGATCCCTTTCACATGTACTGTTGTTAAGCGAGATATTCCCCATCCTATATCAGTGCTTTTCAAAAAATTTTCTGCCTAAGTACAGTACTTTACATTTTTCCCTACTGAAATTCATGTTGTTAGTTTGGGCCCAGGTTTCTAAACTATTGAGGTCATTTTGAATTTTGATCTTCTCCTCCAGAGTATTAGCTACTCCTCCTTTTGGAACTTTCTGCTGTCTAACTTTGTTCTCACCACTCAAAATAATTCCATGTTATTAGCAAACTTTGCCACCTCACTACTTAGTTCTAGCACCAGATTGTTTTATGAGTAAGTTAAAAAGGACCAGTCCCAATACAAATCGTGAATTGATCCTATTTCTCACAATCTCTTCATTGTAAGAACTCACCATTTATACTTACTCTTTGCTTCCTGTCCTTTAGCCCGTTTTCGGTCCACAGAAGGGCTTCTCTTATCGCATGACTGCTAAATTTACTGAGCAGTCTTTGGTGCAGAATCTTATCAGGAGTCTTTTAGAAGTTTTAAGTAGATAATATCTACCAGACCATTCCTCTCGATGTGTTTATTGACACTTCAGAGAACATGAAAAAACCAAAGGTGGTTTGGATTACGGGCTATATGTGCTTATTTCCTTTCAAAAAGTCCTTGTCACAGGGGGAATAAATGTCACCAAACAAGTGTCCTCACTGCTGTTTCCACCCCATCTACTGGTCACTTGGCATAGAGCTGCATCCAGTATATTTTCCAGAAAAGAGCTAAAGCTGGATGTTCTTATCTTCCCCCGTGAGAGGAATGTGACAGAAACAACAAAGAAACAATATTGTACAGTAGTGAGAATCCTTCCCTTGAGTAAGGAAATGATCGTAAAACTTCTTGCACTAAGTTCATGATGAATTTTATTGACAACTCTGTACCTGGTGTGATCTTTCTAATTTCTTTTGCAAGATAATGAATATATACAAGTTCAGTCACCCTAGTGACAGCTTTGCTTTCTGATAATTCAGTGTACACAAACTTTCTTTCATGCACAAAATTATTAAAAATATTGTATAAAATTACCCCTGGGCTATGTGTATAAGGTGTATATGAAACATAAATGAATTTTGTGTTTAGACTTGTGTACCATGTCCAAGATGCCTCATGTACATATATGTAAATACAGCTATTGCAAAAAAAAACAAAACAAAAAAAAAGCCCAAACAACCCAAAATCCAAAACACTTGGCCCTAAACATTTCAGACAAGGGATAATCAACCTGTATATATTTCCCCCTGAAGATGGAATTCTGTATTACTTCTATTGCGGTCCACACAGTAGCTCTTACATTTTGCTAAAACATCTGATTTTCTAATTTTATTTTTCTAATTCACCATATTAACCCTGTATTTGTGTGTGTGCAAATAGACAATGTTTTATATAGCCATTGTGTGAAGAAGAGGCATGATGCTTTTCCTCTACCACCTTTGAAGCATTGCATCAATACAAGAACCTTGGTGTATGTGTGTGTATATATGTACTGTGTTTCTGTAACGTGAAGTGTGCTTATAGTAACCCCTCTTCTTGCCAGCTTCTTCTCGTCTTTCTTTCTTCCTCCTCTGTCATTAATGTAATACAAATTCCTTTTGGAGGGTGTGTGTAGACCTATATAGATCAGCAACTTTTGTGGGGGGTGGGTGGGTTGTTTTTTAAAATTTCATGCAGGATGAAGATCAGTAAAAACCCCCAGAGGATATGGAGTGGTGACAAGTGTTGCAATCCATTTATCAGCCAAGATCCTATACGTTTTTGTTATTGCTGTGTGCCTTTGTTTCTGACTTATGGTGACGCTAAGGTGAACCTATCATGGATTTTTCTTGGCAAGATTTGTTCAGAGGGGGTTTACCATTGCCTTCCCCTGGAGCTGAGAGTGTGTGACTTGCCCAAGGTCACCCAATGGGTTTCATGGCCAAGCTGGGATTTGAACCCTAGTCTGCAGAGTCATAATTCAACAACCAAGCCACTACGCCATGCTGCATAAATATACTGCAGTGTGGTTATGCTAGAAATCACAGCTGTGCAACTAGGTGTGCAGCACAATGCTTCCTGCCCCCCCCAAGTGAGTGTGATTGCCTTCATTAAGGGCCACAATTACACAATTGCAGCTGTTTTTACGCTAGCATAGTGCCCCAGCAAAATTTTGACCTTTACCTTTAAGAGCTATTTAGAAGATTGGCTTCAGTAGTTGCAAAGAATGACATGGAACAATGTCTGCATAGATCAGCGATTCCTTGGAGCTGTTACGAAAACAAGGAAGGTTTTTATTTTTTATTTTTTTAGTGTTCTGTTTAAAAATGGCTAATCCAGGGAATTGGAAAGGCAAATGCTGTGAAGAAAGCCAGAGATATGGCCTCTCCTGTACATACTTTGCAAACACTTGTGAAATAAACAGACACCTACATTGGAAGCAAACTTGGTCATTTTTTGCCACTAGGTATCCATGTCTTGGTAAAGATCTGCCAGCATTAATCTTTTAAGTGACTTCTGCATTTGCTGTAAGTGTGGATTGTTTACAAAGGGATTTAGAGTAATTGGGGCGCTCACTCCTTCAACAGCTTATACTTAGCCTGAAAGCTAATTACTCTTATTGTTTTAAAGCAAGCGTTTCCAGCCCAAATTCAATTGAAGACAGTTTTTCCATTGCCGATGGGGCCACGGATTTAATTTTGTTTATTTAATTAATTTATATCTTCTTCCTGGTACAGCAGTTACAAACAATGATGTTTCTAAGAACTCCTAGGAAATAATCCAGAATATTACTAATTTTAATTTATTTATTGAAAGTATTTATATCCCAATGAATACAAGAAGATCTTGGGGGAGCATACAATAGAAAAAGTTTTCATTGTTTTAACAATTGAATATTTAAAACAGTAAGGTTAATTTAAACAGTTCAAAAATATCTTAAACCATGTATAAGTTTTAAAACTGAAAACAGTTTAAAACTATTTTAAATGTTCAACTTAGTGCCAGGATGAAGCCATTATCAGCATTAGAAGAGAAAGGATTAGTGCATGGTGACCAGATGTCATAACTGCAAAGGAGGACAAGACACCATGAAATGTAGGACATTCAATAAAAATGTAGGGCATTAGCAAATAAAAACTACAGCCGCTGATATAAATATAAATGCATGCTTCTTAGTCAGGCTCAAAATGGAGGATATTTTGGAATTCCTCCTGGACAGAAGGTTGAAATGTAGAGCATGTCCTGGAAAAAGGAGGGTGTCTGGTCATCCTGGGTTTAGTGGAATTTTTAGTTTGAAATATAATTATGGTTAGTCAGCCCATATTACAAGTTTTCCGTTGCAAATCAGTGACCAAGTAATGTTATTATTACCTGTACATTTGTTAATGTGGATGCCCATTTTTCATTCTTAGACTCATTTAAAATTCCCTCTAGTTCCCAAAATGGTTGCTCCTAACTGTAT